CTTACCATCTCTGCCAGGAAATTTGGAAGACAGCTACTTGGCCAACTGCTAAAGATCCATATTTGTACCCCTTCCTAAGAAAGGCGACCCAACAGAATAGTCAAATTTTAGAACAATATTATTGCTATCACATGCAAGTAAGCTTTTGCTGAGGGTCATCCAACAACAGTTGCATCAGTACATTGATAAGAACCTGCCAGAGCTTCAGGCCACATTCAGAAGAGGACATGGAACAAGGATATCATTGCTGACATCAGCTGGACCTTGGCTGAGAGCAGAGAATACTAGAAAGATAGTTACTTTTTGTTTTACTGACTATGCAAAGGCATTTGACTGGGTGGATCATAACAAATTATGGATAATCTTGAGAAGAATGGGAATTCCAGAATACTTCATTGTGCTCATTAAGAACCTATAAATGGATCAAGAAACAGTTGTGAGAACAGAAGAAGGGAATACTGTATGGTTTAAAATCAGGAAAGGTTTGCAGCAGGGTTGCATCCTCTCACAATACTTATTCAATCTGTACACTGAGCAAATCATCAGAAAAGCTGGCTTACATGACGAGGAAGATGGCGTCAGGATTGGAGGGAGGCTTAGTAACAAACTGCAATATGAAGATAACACCCCTACCTTGTTTGCTGAAAGCAAGGAGGACTTGAAACACTTGCTGATGACGATCATCAAGTCTGCAGCCTTCAGGGTGGATTAGAACTCAATGTGAAAAAGACCAGAATCCTCCTAACTGGACCAATAGGTAACATCATGATAAACAGAGAAAAGATTGAAGCTGTCCAAGATTTTCTTACTTGTACTCACAGGCAATGCTCAGGGAAACAGAGGTCTAGATATTAAAAGACACATCACATTAGGTAAACCTGATGCACAAGATCTTAGACTCTAAGAGACCCTTGGGTCAAGACCCCTTTGGGGGTTGAACGACCCTTTCACAGGGGTCACCTGATTCATAACAGTAGCAAAATGACAGTGATGAAGTAGCAACGAAAATAATGTTATGGTTGGGGGGTTACCACAATATGAGGAACTGTATGAAAGGGTCGTGGCATTAGGAAGGTTGAGAACCACTGTCTTGAAAAGCAAAAGTGTTAATTTGACGACTAAGATGCACCTGACCCAAGACATACCGCTTTCAATGGCCTCATATGCACGTGAAAGTTGGACATTTTGTAAGAAAGACTGAAGAAGAGTCTATGCATTTGAATTACGGTGTTGGTGAAAAATATTGAAAGTACTGTGGACTGCCCAAAAGCAAACAGCTCTGTCTTGGAATCAGTATATAGTTAGAATGCTCTTTGGAAACAAAATATGGTGAGACTGCTCACGTATTTTCAACATGTTACCAGCCAAGACCAGTCCCTGGAGGGCATCATGCTACGTAGAAGGGCAGCCGGATTGACACAGTGGTTGCAACCTTGGTGTAAACATAATAACGATTGTGAGGCAGGCGCGGACCGGTAATGTTTCCTTCTGTTGTACGTAGGGTCATTATGAGTTGGAACGGACTCGATGGCACTTACCAAAAATCCAAATACCTAGAAGGGATCCTGATTTATACCCATTCATACAAGTGATCCAATAGCATGTGGAAAACAATATTGTTTTGCTGAAATTAATGGAACCATAGGCTTGTAAACAGAAGTGTGACTGTGCTTACCCTGTGCGTTTCTGAGACTGTAACTCTTTTTCTTTCTTTTTTAATCATTTTATTTGGAGCTTTTACAGATGTAACAATTCATAATTCAATTAGATCAGGCATAGTTGTACAATTGGAGACTAACTCTTTAAGAGAGTACAAAGCCCTTTCTCCCTTGCCATGGGTGATTTCCAACAGCTGACCTGCAGATTGCAAGCAAACACATCACTATTACGAACTAGGGCTTTTTAAACTTTGAGTAACTTATATAAATCATTTAGTATTTTACAAAATTTAGTTCAAAAGTGTCTGCCCATAAATGTTCCAGTCTAGTTTTCACAGTAATTCTCCAGTTTCCTTAAAATAGGGCTATGAACAGGAAAGAGAGAGGGACCAGACCTCAACCTGGTATGCCGAGCCTTGAAGGCAACAGACCAACCTGAAGCAGCAAACTCTCAGCGAGGTCTACAGGGCCAGCTCCAATCCCAGCTCCGTGACCCTCAGAAGAATGCACTAGAGGACAGCCCTGCAGACAGCCCTGGGAGAGTGGCGGGTCTGCCCAGACCACACAGGAGCAAACTTAGAGGGAAAGAGAGAGAATGAACCACATCAAAACCCGAGGATGAAACTCCTACTCGGAGAAGCCAAGGCACAGAAAGGACCCCAAAGCTGGCCCCACTACAAGACATGACATCCCCTCACTGACCAACAGCACTGCAGGGGGCAGCACTGGAGACACAGTTCTGGAACTGTGCCCGGTCTGACCCTCACACATCCGGCGTAACACGAAGGGAGGGCAACAGAGCAGCAAGGTGAGCAAAGCAACAAAGTCCCCAACGAATCCTGAAAATAGACTTCAGACTTGGAGGGCAAAGCTTGGCACCTCATCAGAGTCAATTGGATGACACACATTAAGGGTCAGCAGACAGACCTGGAACTATTTATAGGCCCCCCCCCCCCACTTTTTTTCCTTTTTCATGTCTATCTACATAAGATAGCCAGATAAAGAATCCCTAGGAGAAGACAACAGGACTGACAGTTGGGGGGAGGGGCAAAGGGGAAGAGAAGGCATGGAAAGGGAGGCGGGAAGGTAACAACCCAGAGACAAGGGATCAAGAGATCTAAAATCAAGGAGGGTGGAGAATGCCTAGTGGGGCGTGACTAAGTGCAATGTACTAAGAACCGAATGAAGGTCGAACGTGATAGTGGGACAGAAGGAAAAAGAGGAAAGAACTAGGAAGCAAAAGACATTTATAGAGGTATAAATATAGGTATGTACATATGTAAATATATTTATAATGATAGGGATATGGGTCTACGTATATATATGTTAAGCATCAAAATAGCAGGTGGACATTGGGCCTCTCTACTCAAGTCCTCCCTCAGTGCAAGAACACTTTGTTCTAATAACCTGAGATTCTGTGATGCTCACCTGCCCAACAAGGTCGCTGAAATCAAAATGGTGCATAAGCAAATGTGGTGAAGAAAGCAGATGGTGCCCGGCTATTAGAAGATATAGCATCTGGGGTCTTAAAGGCTTGAAGGTAAACAAGTGGCAAATTATTAGGGAAGCAACAAAGTCCACATGGAAGAAGCACACCAGCCTGTTGTATCACGAGGTGTCAACAGGTTCAGCTATCAGAAAACCAACCATATCAAGGGGGCTCAGAGTAGACCCAAAGCTCATCTGTGGACAATTTGACATCCCCTCAGAGAAGTGTCAAAAGGGATGAGCCAGCCACGATGCAGTATAGCACCGATGAAATGCCCAACATTCCTCTAGTTCTTTAATGCTTCCACCCCACACCCCCACCATCATGACCCCAGTTCTACCTTACATATCGGCTAGATCACAGCATGTACACTGGTACAGATAAGAGCTCTGGGCGCACGGAACCCAGGACAGATAAACCCCTCAGGAACAATAATCAATAATGAGAGTAGTGATACAAGGAATAGGGGTAAGGTGGGGGAAAAAGGAGTAACCATTCATATAACCTCCACCCCATGCCTTCAGGAGGCTGAACAATAGAATCATGGGTGAAGGGAGACAGTGGACGGTATAATAATTTAGAGGGTGGGATGGAAAAGGGGAACTGATTACAGGGATCTACATATAACCTCCTCCCTGGGCAACGGACAACAGAAAAGTGGGTGAAGGTAAACGTTGGACAGTGTAAGATATGACAAAATAATTTATAAATTATCAAGGGTTCATGAGGGAGAGGGGCGAAAGGAGGGGGAAAAATGAGGAGCTGATGCCAAAGGCTTAAGTGGAGAGCAACTTTTGAGAATGATGAGGGCAACGAATGTACAAGTGCTTTACAAAATTCATGTATGTATACATTGTGATGAGTTGCATGAGCCCCCAATAAAATGATTAAAAAAATAATTTATAATTCATCATGGGTCCATGAGGGAATAAAAGAAAAGTTGATACGAAGCGCTCAAGTAGAAAATGTTTTGAAAATGATGGCAGTCTATGTACAAATGTACTTGATACAATTGATGTATGAATTGTTCTAAGCGCTGTAAGAGCCCCCAATAAAATGATTGATAAAAAAAAGTAGGGCTCAGAGACTTACCCGAGAACAATAGAAGCTAATTGGCGGTATTAGGATTAAAATCCAGGTTCCTATCTCTAAACAAACTTTTCTTAAAATACATCTAAGAAACTAACTTGTTTTTCAGTACCAAGTTTGGATTGATTAAAAAAACCCCACCAATTTCCTTTAATTTCATTACATGATCAAAGATACAAGCTATTCTGGAATATCCGAATACAGAGCTCATCAGGCAAATGTTGAAAGCAGTCTGAATACTATGTGGGATTGGGACTGGGAGGATAAAATGAGTTTTAGCTTAAAATCTGCCTTTTATTATTACAGGGTCACGAAAAGCCCTGATGGCACTGTCAGGTAGACAATGAACTCTCTCCATGAGGTCAGTGGTTCTAACCCACAGACTGCTCCTGGGGAAAAAGATGAAGCTATCTGCTTCTGTAAACATTTACTACCTTGGAAGCTCTATATTGGGTTCTCAGGATAGCAGTGGGTTTTTTTCAGGGGGAGTTGCTAATATTTTACCACGGTTTTCTACAATGATCTCTACTGCCGTCTGCTGGCTTAAAGGTAGTTTATGTGCTACAAGTCTTTTACAAGTCTCACTACATTTGTTAGGAAGTGATAGTTTCTTAGGTTTTACTCAATAATTTGTCTTATGAACTGTTCTCTCCAGAGTCTGATGCAGCCAGTCCATACCCTGGGAATTGTTAGAAGCCTCTGATAGATACAAAGTATAATTGTTACCCACCACTAAATAAGCAAACAAACAAAAACTCAGTACACCAGATGGTGAAACAATTTTAATTCAGTTGTCTTTAAAACCACAAAGACACTGTGTTCTTTATATAAAAACAGTAGTATAGATACCCTATACTTCCTAGAAAATAATTATATAGACCTTTTCAAGAAAAAAACAAAAAACCCATTATATGGTTTCAATTAGGTTGGTTTGGGGGGGGAAAAATCACATCTGGACTGATTCCTAAAAGAAGTACTCTACCACTCGGCATCTTTTGGTTCTTGGAGTACAGGTTACTGTTGTTCAGCTCCTTGTCCCTGCATTCTTGCTATTTGACTCCACGTAGCCGAATTCATGGACCACTAGTGCTCCATCGGCTCATCAGCCTTTTCTGCAGGTTCATCAGAAGGCTGAGCAGGCTGAAGAGGGAAGAAAAAGATAATGAAGTTAAAAAACTGAAACAAAAACATTTACACAATCAAGAGATACTTCTAATCCAGCGGATCTCAATCTGTGGGTCACGACCGATTTGGGGGTCAAATGACCCTTTCACAGGGGTTCCCTAAGACCATCAGAAAACACATATTTCCGATGGTCTTAGGAACTGAGACACCGCTCCTCTGTCTCCAGCCGGGCCCGCCCACATGCAGATACGCCCAAATACGAGTACCCAGCGGGAAGAAGACTGTTACCCATGCTACACCATGCTTCAAGACAAAATTTCATTTGCCATTAGAAATAAATATTTCACAATATATAATTACATATCGTTTTTGTGATGAATCACTATGCTTTAATGATGTTCAATTTGTAACAATGAAAATACATCCTGCATACCAGATATTTACATTACGATTCAAAACAGAAGCAAATTAGTTAAGAAGTAGCAACGAAAATAATTTAATGGTTGGGAGTCACCACAACATGAGGAACTGTATTAAAGGGTCATGACATCAGGAAGGTTGAGAACCACTGTTCTAATCCCAAATAGTACATTATAAAAGTTGCCTATTTTTAATTGGGGGTTGGGGCATATTTTAGATATTTGATTTTAATTCATTATCCTATAAAATTTCTAAACAAAAGTTTAAAAAAATAGATATAATTAGTTTTAGAAATGTAATTACAGTGCTGGAAATGTAAACATCATTGAACTATTCTGGTATTTTATCATATTCTTTTTTCTTGTTACCTTTGTTATATTACTATTAGCCCCCAAACACACAGAGCACATCTAAGACATCCTTAGTCCCTTTACGACATTAAACACATCACAAATACAATCAAACAAATCTACTCACAAAGCACTCAACGTTTTGCTAAATAATGCTAGCTCGAGCAATCAACAGCTGTTTAAATAATTCAAATAAAATCAACAATAATCTTTTCCATTTTTTCTTTTTACTTAAGGCACAGAAGAAATTTCTGCACAAAGTAATTCCTTATTTTCAACTAAACAACTATTCAATAAACCTACAAATACCAAATGTGTATTCTAAATATCCAACAGAAGACTTCTGTTTGAGTGGAGGTTCACAAAAACTTCTGGAACTTTCTCTGATTATTTATGAAAAGCCAATGTGGTCTTCAAAGCTGGCTCCCAACTAACTACTCGAAGTCCCCAGACACATAATGGGGACCAGCCCCGTGACTTGCTTTCACCAAGAGAATGCGCAGAAAGAAGTGATGCTGTGCTCGTCCTCAGCCTTACCTGAAAAAGCCTGGCAGTGCTGTACTGTTGAAAGCCCTGACCTGTCAGGTACAACTAGATTCCCTGGTGAAGACAAGGCCCCGATGAGGCCCCAGCCATCGCAGCAGAGGGCTGCCCTCCAAAGCACCAGTTATGTGAAGAAAGCTATGCTGGACATTCTAGTCCCACACCCCAATCTGACTGCCACGTTTAAGACTCTCAAGTGAGACCAGCCAAACAGCCCATTCATCTGAGCCCGGTCATGGCTGCTCTATAGCAACAGATAATCCAACCACCAACTCCTTCTTTCACCTTGAATTTATGGAGATCACGGCTCCCTCAATATTTTACTTTCCTTAGATCTTAATTTCCCTACTGCCTCTTGAATGATAGACTTATCTCAATTAATTAAGACAAAAATGGTAGATTTACACAGCTGCTACACAGTATCTTAAACTAGAAGAAAGGTCTCTTGTGCTTTTGATCAGTTTTGTTTTTATACCTGGGCCTTTCTCTGTGGTCGTTCTTCAAGACCTTCCAGGAAGGGAGAAACATCATCGTCATCATAGATTGTAAACTCCAAGTCTTTGCCAACAATTCCAATGGAGACATTCTGAGGGGATGGAAAGGGGAGAGAAGGAAAAGAACAACAAAAGAAATCAGGTTAAGGTGGAAAAAATACTTGATAACATTTTAAGTAAAAAAAACAACAAAATTTATATAGTATTTGAATGAGACAAAAATATTTAATTGTAGTGGCTTTAAAGCTAGAAGGAAAATTATAAACCCTTGTCATCTGCAGATTGAATACGCAATTGTGATGATCACAAATAACCTCTAGAAATTAGTAACATGGCTCGTAATGGGAATTAGAGATTTGAGTGAGATAGCAAGTCATGTAGCTGGGAAGTAAGCCTTACTCATTAGAAATCATCAAATGTATTTCTTGTTTAAACTAAGAAATGACTGATTCTTTTTTTTTTTAAATCATTCTATTAGGGGCTCATATAATTCTTATCACAATCCATACATGCATCAATCGTGTAAAGCATATTTGTACATTCATTGCCCTCATCATTCTCAAAACATTTGCTCTCCAGTTAAGCCCTTGGCATCAGCTCCTCGTTTTTCCCCCTCTCTCCCCATTCCCCCTCCCTCATGAGCCCGTGATAATTTATAAATTATTATTTTGTCATATCTTGCCCTGGAAATGACTGATTCTTAACTAGGAAGTAAGTTTTGGGTACTCTGGAATGGTGAATTGGGTGGGGGTGGGGCGTGGAACCACACTCCACAGTGACACCCTGAAGAACAGTTTGAAATGCGCAGGGAACACGAGCCAGCACAGAAACAACGCCTGTGAGACTAACACTTCAGTGAAAACTTGAGGTGCGAATATACTGGTCATTCACACTGACTCAGAAAAGACATGAAATCAGGAATATTAGAGCACACACTCCCACACTGTGAATGTCAACAATCAAATGCATATCCCAATTTAAAACTGAGCTGCCCTGGGAAATCGCATTATAGGTATTTTGAGCAAATAAAAACAATTCAATTTCCCTTTTTTTCAAAAGGATAGTTAACATTCTCCATTCTCTTTCCAGTTCAGAACCTTATTTATCTCACCAAGCACTGGGAAGCAATTGGAAGAGAGCATTAACAAACTCCTAGTGTACACCGTCTTTCCTGTATCTATGGCCCTGGACAACCTTCCTTCCTGTTATTGTGAATGAAAAGTCAAAGCCGCTTTTCTCATAGCTCCCCTACATAAATACGTCCCTTTACACTGGACTATTCTCATGACTGTGCAGCAAATACAATGTGACTCCTCCTTACAAAGAATTTGCTCCATTCGCTCCTGATTCCATTTCTCTTAGGCCTGGGCTTCATCATACCATTAAAACTGTCTTGTCAAATTCCCCAAATGAATACTGAATACATCATTGTTAATCCAATGGCTGATTCTTAACCTGCAGTTTCCTTTTTAAAAATCATTTTATTGGGGGCTCGTACAATTCTTATCACAATCCATCCATCGTGTCAAGCACATTTGTATATCTGTTGACTAGCAGTGTTCTTACATAGTTCTTATCATTTTCTTCTCCCTGAACGTTTCTTACAAAGTCTCATTTTTCAGCTTTTCTCCTAGTCTCTGGCCACCAATCTCATTAACAGACACCTACCCACAGCCCAGTCTCAAACCTTATCTTATCCTGTTCAAGTCCCATGGCTCCAAAAGCCACTTGTACACAAGGACTCCAAAAGGCTTATCTTCAGGCTAGATACCACTCTCCCCTGAACTCTACGGGGAACACATCCAATTGCCTATCCTACAACTCTAATTAGACAAACACATTTTAATGCTACATGCCCATACCTAAGTGCTCAATAATCGTCCATAAACCCTAGCCCAAGATTTGTTCTATTCTCCTGTCCCTCTCAGTAAATCACAAATTTTCCCTCAGCAAATCAGTTAAAAAACTTAGGGCACCCTCCAACACTTCAAAACATTCAGTAAGACCCAGTGGTCTACAGTTCTGTGTCATCTGGTTTCTATTACCTCTGACTCTTTTTTCTCTTCTTTCCTTTGCTCACTGCCCCCAACTCTATTGGCCCCTTTACATGGAACGGGGTCACTGCACTCACCGTTTACTGCCTCACCCCCTTACTTTACCTTCCCCACTCGGCCTTCCTTGACCACCCTATTTTAAATGACATCCTGCACCCTACCTCCCCACACTTAATAATGTTTTCTCCTTTTAACCCTGTCTCCTAAAGGGCATCTACGAAAAACCCACAACTAAGGTTAGACCTAACCGTGCCCCTCCCCATTTAGTACTTATTAAGTTCCAGTCTATCACCCTTCTGCATGTAACAAAACACGTATCCAGTGTAGACACAGGAACTCACCCCAACGACTGGGAAATGCACTGCTTACCTTTGTTGTTAGGTCCTGCTCTGCAGGAAGTGTCTCTCTTAGGGCACGCAGACCATGCTTAACCAGTTCATTCAAATTGCCTACATGTAATAAACGAGTAATTATCTATTAGTTTTATCTCCCATCTGAAATCTTGGTGTTTTCCCCATGCAAAAAAAAAAATAGCCACAAGTTTAATTTCCAGTCACAATACCTAATAACCACTAGTAACATTGCTGTTATTTAATGTGAGGATATTTAACTTTTATCATTAAATCTGACCTTTTTAAGGTTAAATTAAAGTAATTTACAAATTATAGAGTTCAAATCAAATCCAGTAACATGTACAAAGGATTTTATGCCATGACTCAGTGAGATAACTCTAGGAATGCAAGGCTGGCTTAATGCCTGAAAAATACATACACTGATAAAGGAAATCCCTAGGACTGTTCTCAATAGACACACAAAAGATTATGTGATAATATCCAACATGCTTACATAATAAAAGTGCTCAACAAGTAATAGAAGGGAACTTTCTGAACCTGATAAAGGGACTCTAGGAAAAATCCACAACTAAGGTTAGATTTACAGTAAATGACTGAATGCTCCTTAAAAGATCAGGATTAAGACAACTTCTGTTCAACAATACAGTGGAGGTTCTAGTAGCATTAGTTAAAATAAATAAAAAGGCATCTAGACTAGATAGAAGGAAAACTATCATTTATACATGATATGATCCTGGATCTAACTAATCCACAAAAGCCTACCAGAACTAATAAATGAAACCAGCAAGGTTGTAAAATACAAAGTCAACACACAAAAATCACTTAAGTGGATAGCTACACTGTAACCTGGATTATGGGCTGGAGTATAAAAGCTTTTCATTGCCAGGGGGATGCTGAATAACTTTCTTCCTGAAGAGAGGGCAGTAGGCCAAATATGGTGCAGATTCTGCCCTTTTCCTACAATCCAGGGTTATATCCAGATCGTACAGCTGTAACAAATCTTAATCACAAGCACAACTCCATGCCAAGAGAATCTCCAAAGGTGGCATGATCTCAGGGGCCCCTGAATCAATTACCATCATTAAAAAAGTTTCACTCTTGCCCAGTATCTTTCAAGCTTCTCAGGGATAGGGCCATTTCCTTCAAAGTCAAATCTATTACCACCCCACATATTAAGATTATTTCCTTTAAATATACTAAAGAACTGTATACATTATGGTGCCTTAATGCTACCAGAAAACAGGTAGAAAGACAAAGAGAAGTTAAATGTGAAGCAAAAACTTGAAAACCTGCCTTATCATTGCATCTTACATCTTTTACCCACACTTAGTCTGCCTTTCTAAGGCTTATCTATTACAGAAAGGTCTGTGTGGTCAAAACTAATAGAATGACAGTACACTGTAAAGAGAACCTGTAATGGTAACTTTTGCTGTGGTTCTCAGCTCTGGCTGGGGTATATGCACTTCCAACTAACCTAAGCAAGAATCTCCTTGGGTGAAGTATTTTGAAAGAGTTCAGTTAGTGACAGAAACCACTGTGGTAGCTACAAGGGGAGAAAACTACTGTATAAGAGACACAATTAGCATTTTAGAATATTTTTAGAAAGTTCTCTTTCTATAATGCTAGTAGTTTTATTTACTTAAGATTATAGGGTTTCTTCACTACAAAAATATCAGCAGGCAAAAACCAAAACAAGACACAAAAGACATTCACTTACATTCCATGAACTCAGACATCCGTCTCTCCAGGTAAGTCCGAGCTGACTGCGAGCGAGCACCGATGGACATGGCTCTACAGTCAAAATAGTTGGCCGACGGACAGGTTTGGAAAATGTGAGGGCCCATATCCTACAAACAGGAAAGAGTACCGAATTCCTGACTTTGGTTTGGATAAAAATTACAAAAACCTAACATCATTTTAAAAACTGTAAAACATAATTAATTGCAAAGAACTTACATCATAACCAGCAATGAGCAGCCCCACACCATAAGGCCTCCGACCATATCGTTGAGTTGGTATCTGGGTTTCTTAACTAGTTAAAGAGCTATTCTAACATGGGATAAAGTTATCTTTATTTCCAATATAGTTTAAACTAATTAATAAAGGCCTGTAACTTCTCTAATTGTTACATAAGCCACCATATGTTAAACAGGAAGACAATGATACAACGCAGCAGTATTTCGTTAGCCTAATTTAAAAATACACCTGACCATCTACCAAAGCCAAGAACGAATGCTTGCAAAATGATATATTCCCACGTAACATCACAGCTGTTTTGGATCTAACAGGGCCAAGACCCAGAGCCACCAATAAAAAACCTTAAATCTGATATAAAAATTTTTTAAAATAGTTTTCCTGAAACAGGCCTATATATCTTTGGTAATTATCAATTGCTGATAAAGACTGAACCCAATCCCTTATTTCATACCCATTGTTCCAAGGGAAAACCAACTCAAACCTACACACATTTACACCTACACCCACCCCTACAGCTATTTTATTCAATTCAGGTGAAAATTCATTTCTAAATTAAAATTAAAAATAACGAACTTTAACACTTTTACAAGCATAGCTTTTATTTTCAATATAATTCAAACTGATTAAATAGTACTAATGAAGACCTGTAGCTGCTTATTCAACTGTTGCGTAATCCACCACATCTTAGACAAAGGTCTTTCTTTTCAACATAGTTCAAACTGATGAAGCATGATTCATTAAAGGCCGCATCTTCAAATCCTAATAACTAACATAAGGGTGAAGTACTGAAATCCTGTCAGTTCACATTCACAGCTGTTAGTGTCAAAAAGGATACTGCTTCCAATTAGCGACACAAGACGAGACACAGGAAGAGGTCTGTCAAATACAAATCTCGAATCCAAACACTCCTGGCGCATGAAATTACTAAAAGAAAGCAAAAATTAGTCATTTCAAATCACATAGCGAACATGCAGTCTAAATTAAAGTCTGATTTTATTTTGTTTTCAGATATTGCACGCACTGTATCCACATAAAGAAACCAGAGAGATAGGAAAGATACGGCTTACTTACTCACTGCCATCAAAATCAATTTCAAATCCTAGTGATGCGATAGGATAGAATAGAGCTGCCCCTGTAGGCTCCTGAAGCTGTAAAGCTTTCTTGGAGCAGAAAGCCTCCTCTTTTGCCTGCTCAACATGTAGCTGCTATGCCAGCAGACTAAAGACTGATACGTTTCTAAGATAAAAATCTTCTTTAACCTTATAAAACCTTTGTTTCAGGGCACTTTACAGAACAGAGAAGGCTGAGCAAGGGAATAGGAGCAATCTCTCTTATCCTCTGCACTGTCAGGAATAGTTTGTCTTAATTCTAGGTCTTGAACCATCAAAGGAGCCCCCACTCTGCTTGCCGTTGACTCTGACTCACAGCAATGCTAACTAGGGTTTCTAAGGCTGTGAATCCTAACAGGAGCAGACAGCCTGATCTTTTTTCCGAGGGGTGGTTGGCGGGTTCAAACTGCTGACTCTAATTCACAGCTCAACAAGTAACCCACCATGCCACCAGAGCTGCTTGCTTGTACTTCACTAAAATCAAAACCAAAAATTCACTGCCTTCGAGTGACAGCACCCTACACAACAGGATGCAACTGCCCCTATTGAGTTTATGAGGCTGTAACTCTTAAAGGAGTGAAAGCTTTCTCCCCAGTCAGTTGGTGGTTTCCCACGACTGACCTGGTGGATTGCAGCCCAGCACCTAACCACTCTGTCACCACGGCTTCCTTTTTGTTTGACAGAAGGCTAAGGAAGAGCCATGTGCTTCCCTTTGCTTATCTACAAACTCAATTTACAGAAAATCAGGAATCAGTCTCACTCATTACCCAGGAACTGTAAGAATTATGTTTTGGACAGGGCTAAAGAGTTTTGTCCAAGTCTTTGTAGCACGAGAAAATGTTTTATTCAAAACCTAACAACGCTGTCACTACAATATTGACCTAAGAGAGAAACGGTCTGAAGGGACAACTGGAAAAGTTCAACACCGACATTAATATGTGCTTACATTTGTTCCTTTTCAATCCCATCCTGGCTCACAGGATAAATAATGCCCAATCTTCAATCTTCCACTTCCCAAGACAATTCACATTCGACCTGAATGGCACTATGATTAGTGCTCTTCATGCCAAGATTATTTTACAACTTCAAGAAAAAAAATACCACAGCAATGAAGACTGAAGTAACTACCTCTGCCTCAGGTAAGAAGTAGTGAAGGTAAGAAATGAAATCAACGATATGGCTGTAGTACCCTAGCTTCTCATTTACATCTTGCCCCTCAAGTGCTGAAAACCTGGTGGGGACTGAGCATGATAGTGGGACAGGAGGAAAACCAAGGGAAATAGAGGAAAGAGCTGGGAGGCAAAGGGCATTTATAGAGGTCTAGATAAAGACATGTACATATGCAAATATATTTATATGAGGATGGGGAAATAGATCTATGTGCCTATATTTATAGGTTTAGTATTAAGGTAGCAGAAGGACATTGGGCCTCCACTCAAGTACTCCCTCAAAGCAAGAATACTTTCTTCTATTAAATTGGCATTCTGTGATGCTCACCTTCCCGACACAACCGCTGAAGACAAAGCTGGTGACTAAGTAAACGTGGTGAAGAAAGCTGATGGTGCCCGGCTATCAAAAGATATAGCATCTGGGGTCTTAAAAGCTTGAAGGTAAACAAGCGGCCATCTAGCTCAGAAGCAACAAAGCCCACATGGAAGAATGTATCAGCCTGTGTGATCACGAGGTGTCGAAGGGATCACTGAAGACAAATGGGTGCATAAGCAAATGTGGTGAAGAAAGCTGATGGTGCCCGGCTATCGAAAAGTATAGCACCTGGGGTCTTAAAGGCTTGAAGGTAAACAAGCGGCCATCAAGCTCAGAAGCAACAAAGCCCACATGGAAGAAGCACACCAGCCTATGTGATCACGAGGTGTCGAAGGGATCAGGTATAAGGCATCATCAGAACAAAAAATCTTACCATAGTGAATGATGGGGGGAGTGTGGAGTGGAGACCCAAAGCCCATTAGTAGGCCACTGGAGATCCCCTTGCAGAGGGGTCTCAGGAAGGAGACGAGCCAGTCAGCGGGCGATGTAGCAACGATGAAAAATACAACTTTCCTCTTGATCCTAAATGTTTCCTCCCCGCTCCCACTATCAAGATATGAATTCTACCTTGCAAGTCTGGCTAGAGGAAGTACACTAGTACACTAGTACAGACAGGAACTGGAAATACAGGGAATCCAGGGCAGATGATCCCTACAGGATCAGGGATATGAGTGGCAATACTGGGAGGGTAGAGGGAGAGTGGGTTGGAAAGAGGGAACCGATTACAAGGAACTATATGTGACCTCCTCCCGGGGGGACGGACAACAGAAAAGTGGGTGAAGGGAGACGTCGGACAGGGCAAGATATGACAAAACAATAATTTATAAATTATCAAGGGCTCATGAGGGAGGAGGGTGCGGGAAGGGAGGGAAAAAATGAGGACCTGATGACAGGGGCTTAAGTGGAGAGGAAATGTTTTGAGAATGATGAGGGCAATGAATGTACAAATGTGCTTTACACAATTGATGTTTGTATGGATTGTGATAAGAGTTGTATGAGCCCCTAATAAAATGATTAGAAAAAAAAATACATCTTGCCTCTCAACAAGAAATGACTTCCTCTAGACTATCAAAGAAATTTCTGTTACTTTAAAAAACTCTGCTTTCTACCCTTATTATAGAAACTGGACTCATTAATAGTTGTACAACTAGATTTTTAAGTTTCTTGAACATATGATTCACGTGATTAACTTTTGTATAACCCACAGTATGACGTTGACCTTTGCAAAAATATAAATGCCTAATATATTCTCATGAAAGAAAGCAAGGGTGGCTCAGCTCATTACTAAAACCAGACAACAGTGTCACATTCTACTTAGACATTACATACTCTCACGCAATATACACTGAATTAACTAGTATCAAGGAGCACTGGTGGAATAGTGGTTAAGTTTTCGGCTGCTAATCACAAAGTCAGCAGTTCAAAACCATCAGCCACTCTGTGGGAGAAAGATGAGGCTTTCTACTCCCGCCAAAAATTATGGTCTTGGAACCCACAGTTCTACCTTGCCCTGTCGGACCACTATAGGTCAGAATGGGCTTGATGGCAGTGAGTTGCGAGATGCCATCCAGTGTTTTCCCATACGTGCTAATATTAATGTAGTTACGGAATATTAATGTGGACAGGAAATGTCATACTTGATTAGTGCGTCCAAGCACACCACGTACACAATTTTAACTTAATAAACATTCTGGCAAGCAGCTTCCTAAAATAGTTTGTCTGGATCTTTCCTAGAAATGAGCTAAAAGGTTTTCATTATCATACTCACCACAATAGTCTAGCATCAGCAGTCAGCCCCGCAATTGAAATACCAATATGGTTGTCAACATGGAGAATTTTTTTCTGATGAGCTGCAAGCTCGGACTGTGCCCTCTAAGTGAAGACATTGTAAGACAGAAAAACAAGTTTGTGATGAAATAATATATAGAAATAAAAGATTATTAATGGTTACCACAGTGGACGGGAGTGGGGAATGGGGTGCTTTCATTTGGAAAGCAATGAGTTTTTATTAATGATGATGGAATACTTCAGAAAAGCAGAGCGATAATGGTGACACAAGGTGAGAAATGTCATTGAATTCTAAGTGCGTTAGTTCTACTGGCTAATGCCCTGGTGTGCATTTTTCACCATAATAAAATTAGAAAATTATGACTTTAGTGTCTACACAGTGAAATTTATATTTGCTGATTCTGTTTCTAAAAGAATGATAGATATATTGATTTACCTTCAATGCAACTAGCACTGCGTGGGTTTTTGATTTCAGACCAACAGTGGCTGAACCTTGTTTAACAGCTTCCATTGCGTATTCAATTTGATGAATCCTGCCCTAAAGAGAAAAAAGCCAACACATCTAGAGCTACAAACTATCAAGACACGATTATAAAGCAAAGGTGTATTAAAGATCTCAAATTTTTTTTTAAAATCAGAAAACACCTTGATGAAATTTTAAGTTCTGGAACCGCCTAAAATGATTATATTTCATTTTATCACAGCACATGATTTCATGCCTTTCTAGACATAATACAACCACTTCCTAGAAATGGCCTAAGAGTTATTTTACCTGTGGGCTCCAAACAGTGACATCATTGTCATACTGGTTTCGAAACTGAAAGTGAAAGAAAAAGAACATTACAAATCCCACTTCTTAGCTTGTTGTATTAGGAACTGTTCTCCAATTTTGTTCATGTACATTTACTGTACGATGACTACTTTAATCAGTTGCAAGCCGATTCTACAAACATTTGCTAAGGCAAGTGCCCAAATTTGGATGGGTCCTACCTTGCCAATGTCTCCTCCACCTACCACTCTCCGTGGCACTGCCTTTCCCAACCCAACCCTTTACCATCAAGTCCCTTCCAACCCATGCCAACCCCATAGGGTCACTCCATTACCAAAAGTTCATACAACTCTTTGAGGAGTCTCCAAGTCTGATCTAGATTTCCTCCCCCTCCCCCACGTATCTCTGCTTTTGCTGATCCCTTATTTGGGGGCACTAATAACAAACAGATGGCTGAAACCCAGCTCAAATGCTTCCTTTTTCAAGTCGTCTCCATGTTTTTCTCCTCAAAGCAGCCCAACACTTCGTCCACACCCCATAGTTCTGGATCTCCACTTCCCATTCTGCTTCCTCTGACGACTAGGGGTATGTCCGATTTATATCTGAACCATCAATGTAGTAAAAGTGTGCATATTTCCTATAGAGTAAACGCAAAAATGTCCTCTTGAAGTTGCGGGCGGACAAAAATAACTGCACCGGAATAATTACTGCTGCCATGACGATACGACGACCGTCTAGTCACACAGTGCTAGAGGGAATAATTACGGGGTGAAAAGGCAGCGTGCTTGAACGGCACATACAAGCCGGGAAACCCTCTACTGCAGTAGCCTTAGTAACAGCACTTGCCCTCTCCCCTGCACAACGAGGGGATCAGACGAAATGACTGAACGGAGGTTTTCCAGTTCGAATCCTAGGGCCTAGTACTATCACACGGGCCCTCTAGAAAAAAAGGCGCCGTCCTAGAACCCAAACCTTGGGGTGCAGTCCCCACTTGGCGGTTCTGGGGCGCCTCAAAGTCAAATATCTCTTCTCTACTCCCTCTTCCCCAAACAGCACTCTAGTCCACCCTGAACTACTCGGAATCTCTGTCATCGAAAGACCTCGAAGGGCAGACTCGACTGAAGGACCAGGGAGAAAGGGTCCACAGTCCCGCGGGAAGCGAAACAAGCCCCAGAGCAAAGGCCGCAACGGCGGCCGATACTCCCTCTCCCGGCCCGATAGGAGATGCTGAATCACTGTCCAGGCTCTCACGTCGGTCTTATCTCATGCCTTGTGTGTCCCGGCCACTTGAAACAGAACAGAAATGGCGGCTCGCCATCCCCTAAGTTACCGGACCTCTGCCTCGACCCTGCCACGGCTCGGGCTCTAACGTACCATAGTTCCCGCTCAGGCTTCGCTGCGGCCTCCTGCAAAGCTGCCGACTAAGTAGCGCGGCCAACCCTGCTGCTCGGCGATCGACAGAGAAGCCTACGTGACTCTGACGGCAGCGACGCAGGATAGGGGATAGCAGTCTACCCCAGAGATATCGATAGGCTTCCCACCCATCCCGGTCCCCACAGGGTCAGCCTCTCCAGAATGGGCGGGGCCTGGGAAGGCCGTGGAACCCGGATTGGACGGAAGTCCTCACCCGGCAGGGTCCCTGGCGTCTGAAGGCGGCCCAGCTGGCTGCCCAGCTTCTCTGGGTTTCTCTGTGAAAGTGTCTGAATCGCACACTCTCGCCAGTGGAATCTCTGGCCACGACGGCTGCAGTCTCTTGATTTCGAGTGTGCGGCGTCCTCTCATTGAGCATCCGCAATGGGTTGGGCGTTGTGTGCGTCAGAAGGAGGAGGCCACCAGAAAAGCTGTAGACTCGTGGTGTGTGTGTGTTCCACAGCCTCCTCTGTAGACTCGTGGTGTGTGTGTGTGTGTGTGGGGGGGTGTCTGTGTGTGTGTACCACAGCCTCCTTCTGCAGACTCGTGGTGTGTGTGTGTGTGGGGGTGGTGGTGGTGTCTGTTTGTGTGTGTGTACCACAGCCTCCTTCTGTAGACTCGTGGTGTGTGTGGGGTGTCTGTTTGTGTACCACAGCCTCCTTCTGTAGACTCGTGGTGTGTGGTGTGTGTGTGTGTGTGTGTGTGTACCACAGCCTCCTCTGTAGACTCGTGGTGTGTGTGTGTTCTGTTTGTGTGTGTGTACCACAGCCTCCTTCTGTAGACTCGTGGTGTGTGTGTGTGGGG